ACTTTAATTAATATTTACTTCTACAATAATATAATATAGCAAACACAATACTTTCTCAACTATATTAATATAATAATCCCAACACATTCGAATCAGGGTCGTAATCCTGACTGGCTCGCCATTTTGTTATGTCGTGGAGCAAAAACAATTTTACTTTACACCTGACTGCCACTGGCTCCGACATAGCAATGTGAATACTCTACATCTAAAATTTTTAAACACCATTCCTGAATTTTAAATGTTTATTTTATAGAATTCTATTCATATATTTGCAAGTTATACACTATAAACACAATAAACAAAATTTGAACTTATCTGCACCAGCGTGAATAAGTCTGGCATAATATTGTTGCGTGCATACGGGTTCGTTATGAAATGAATGCACAAGTCCGAGGAAAAATGAACAAAAATTTATTATTATCACAACAAATTAAATTTTCTCAATTTATCATGCAGTATTACAATATCTCACAGTAGTTATCTTTTAACTACTCAAATGTCCAAAAGAACGTAATTCAAAACAGCTAAAGAACGCTAATCCGCGAATTCGCTGCTACAATCAACAAGAGCAGTTTTCTAAACAACAACAAACTAAGCAGCAACTACTACGAACTGAGATGTTTTCTTCCTTTTATAAGATTTTAAAATCACGCGCTAGAATTTTCTAGCACTTTCTCGAAATCAAAAAGAGATATTTATTTATTTAATGCACGCGCTCTTGAATTTTAATTTTCCGGCTTAGCTTTCTTTTAATATTCGTCACGCGCTGCACTGCGCGAGAAATAAAACCATTTAATTTATAATTGAACTAGCATTAGCTTTTTAAATACCAAATTCGTAACAATATTCTGAACTCGACGCAACTTTAGGAGGAAAAATACCGCAAATTCAAACACAAGGTTTCATCCTTTCCAACGCAGCTAATTTTCTAAATATATTTTACTAATATCCGCAGCGGGACAGCGGATTCCATTTCATTCACTCAAAACTCAAATGTTATAACGCAATAGTATCGCAAAAGACGAAAAAAAAATCGACTCAAAATCAAAATTAAAATCTATAGAATATCATCCGCTGTTGCCATTCCATCACTGCCAAGTTTTTCTTCCTGCAGCTGTTGCCAGACTTATTCTCGCTGTTTGTGAGAGGTACAACAACAATACAGCGTAATTGATTTGATTGAGTGATTGATTTTCAAAATGATTTATCTTTAAAAGCTCTTTCTTCAAGCTTTGGAACTATTTGGCCTCTTGTTCCTAAATAAAAATGGCCAATTTTAGTCCAGGTGGTCTAAAAGGGAAGCCAACGTTCAGCTGTAAATATCTGTGTGAAGTTTCAATATCCAATATAAAATTTATAAAATCAAGTTGTAGAGACATTAGGTGCAGAGGAAGAAGAAAAAGGAGCAAAGGAGATGAAAAGTCAGCAATCGCCTTCGCCTGGAATCAAACCACGGACTTCTGGAATACCGCCCAGCGTGCAGACCACCACACCACGAAGGTACGCTAGGAAGGCGGGAGAAATATTTTATGAAGTACAGAAACAATACTGATGAACTTATGAACATTTGAAGAGGTATATTCGAATGGCAGCTGCTATCTAATCTACCGACATCAAAAACTTGTTGATGACTAAAAACAGTGCCATCTTCCTCATTAAAGTTAATTAGTTGGATGAATAACCTGTTGTTACATAGCTAATTTATTACTAACGACCATTCGATTTTTTTATTCTGTAAAATTCAATTTCAGTTTCTTTTTCTTATGCACAGTTTTCTTAAAATTTATTTAATATTTGCTAGAAATGTTTCATTTATCTATTGTACCTCGTACATATATAAAGAAGAAAGTATGTGTGTTTGTCCTCTAATAACTCAGTCACTACTATAGCGATCGTCACCATACTTTCTACAATTTTTTCCAAGTCCTGGAGAAAGTCGATGTCCACTTGATTCCAAAAAAAAAATGTAGCTAAAATCAGAGATATTAATTAAAAACTCGGAAAAACGATAATTTTCTCCCTCAGTTTTCCGAGTGGCAACAGTCTCGCCAGCTGGAGATGAAAATCTACTTTATTTCGAAAATTATTGCCACTGCTCGCTTTCAAATTGTAGAATTTGTTAATAAAACATTTCTAAGTTTTACGATGAAATAAAAATAGCATTGCCAAACATTAAATACATTATTCCCGATTCCGAAAATTTGTGGGAGGCCATTTCGACTGCGTACGACTTTAATCAATGGAGATATTAATTAAAAACTCAGAAAACACTAATTTTCGCACTCATTTTTCCGAGTGGCAACAGTCTCGCGCGTTGGATATAAAAATGCTTTATTTCAAAAAGTGTTGCTACTGCTCGCTTTCAAATCGTAGAAGAGTTTGTTAATAAAAAAATTTGTAAGTTTTACAAAATCTATGAAGAATGTCTGTTTTTGTGTATGTTTGTTCACGCTATTGATTTCAGATTAATTATTGCCACATTTAATTAAATAAAATTGAATATAAGTGAAATATTATATGGAACTTGAGCTTTTACGACCATTTGATTAGAAAGACGAAAATCATTAAAAACTGCGTGCCATTGTTGCTGATATAATGAGAGAGAATTAATTTATTTTTCTATCGAAATTTTTTACGCGGGTTCCATATCGCATAAGACTGAAAAATGTACTGAATCGTATTTTTTGCATCGTTATTAGAGAAGGATTACGGCGGTGTCATTCTCTTTGTTGGTTATGTGCATTACTCTCAATCTGACTTAACTGCCATCGGGTACTTCCGCTAGTAGGCAATAAACAAATGTAAATTTGATCAAAATTCCTTATATCTATCCTGATTTCTTTTGGTAGCTCACAGCGGGAAAAGCAGTACGGTTGCTCATAAACTTCATACCCTTAACGTTCACTGTGCCATAGGAACATATTTTAATAAACGTTTTTATAATATCGAAAACAAAGGCCCGAAATCACTGAACACTGGTATTTCACTGCTTAACACTAGTTTAACACTGATAGTTCTGAATTGGGTTTGACTTTCGTCAAACAGGCTGTCTGTATGGACATTTTCATGGTTTTCCCCATGCCTAACGTATATACGAGACATTTTCCCTTCGAAAGATCGCCAAGAAGGCATAGTTTTCCATAGATAGATAGCTCTAGAAAGCTTTGCCATAATAAACTAAACAAAAACCCAAACCAAATTGTCAGAACGTTTCAACATTTTCAGCATACATAAATTAAATCTGTTTTTATATAATTATACATTTTTAAAATTTAATATTTAGTTTTATTATTACTGTAGGCATCCCACTGTGCCTTGTCAGTCCAGCAGTACCTGCCAAAATATGCATTTCTAAAATATACCATTCTATTAAAACTACTGCTCAGCCATGATTTATACTAATGATTTGAATATTGTTTAAGGCGTTTAAAAATTGTTGTCGTATATCTTAATTGCACTTGGATAAAAGGTTCATATTTTCTGCGCCAAAGTAACATTTTTCCTCTTTCTTATTCTTTGTGAATCATTTTTGTAGTATTTCGAAAGTAAAGACGGGATTAATAATAAATTATTCATGTTTTTTCTTAATTCAGAATGGATGAGTTAGATGCAAATTTTATAATATTTAAATTCAACACTGCAGTTCACATAAATTTAAACTTTACTTCAGTTTTTAAGATTTGGCGTAAATTCCTTTTTGGCCTATCCTACGAAAACTTTTTCTTTCTCCCTTCGAGTGTTGTTTCTTCTCCTTTTCGAGTGTTGTTTCTTTGAAAATTGAATTTCAATATCGACGGTAAATTAACTTAAAATGTGTTAAGTTCGTGAGTTAAGATTTTAGGAATTTAATTATCGACGGTAAATTCTTTTGAAGCGGGTATGTTCATGAGTTAAGATTAAACTTTCTTTATCTGCACTGAAAATAATTGCCTCTAATACTGCCACGAACCTCTTCTTTTTTCTCCTTGAAGTATGGTATGGGAGTTTTCGGTTTTGACACACAGTTATCCTGATATTCAAAACAGTTACAATACCTTTCGCATAATAGCTGATGGTGGTAATGATTGGTAGGGTACCGCAGCGACGATTGCTTAAACACAGTGGAGGGAAGTAGTATTTGATCAATAAAAATTTATGCAGCAAATTAAACAAAATTCTTACATAGTAACTAGTTCAAATTAGCTTATGTAATAAATAGCAAATATCTGTCAAGTAATCTTGTCACCACGCCGAAAAACAAAATTATGCAAATTTCCAAGGGGGAAAAGTATGTGAACAACTAATGAAAATAAGTTGCAACTTGACTTCAAATGTTGAAAGGGAAAAGGAAAGAAACGCAGTTTGTTTTAGAACTTCTATTATTTTTATCATTTACAATTCCATTTCTTTATTACAAATTTATTATTCTGAAATATGTGGAAAACAGAATGAGTTGACTTTCGTAATGCGTAATAGAACTGTAAATTTAAGAAATAATGGATTCATCTATCGTGAAATAACATAATTTTAAAATTTAATTTATCATCTGTTTGTTATGCGATGAGTAAACATAAATCAAATGATATTATCGAATATAGAAAGAGGACAGGGCGGCCAAAAGTTCTTGCAGCAAGAAAACGCAGAATGATTGAAAGAGCAGTAAAAAAAATATTGGTAGTGTAGAAATATCCATTGACCTCGTATCTTGTTCAGGTGTTTGTGTTACACCTCGAGCAGTAAGAAATTACCTACACGAATTTAGATACAAAGCCAGTAGTACAAGAAAAAACCGTATATAAGTGAAACTAATCGTAAGAAAAGGATTTATTTTGCAAAAGAATATATAAACAAGCCTTTAGCATTTTGAAAAAAGACTATTTTCACTGACCAAAAGTAAATTTTGCTTGTTTGAATCCGATGGCAACAAAACTGTTTGGAGAAAAAATAAAACGGCTCTAAATCCTAAAAATGTATGCCAAAGTGTAATGCATGATTTTAGGAGCGTTATAGTGTGGGATAGTATGACCTGGAATGGAACTGGAAATATGACTAAAACTGAGGGAATTTTGAATGCGACAAAATACGTAGAGATATTGCAAGATAATTTATTTGAAAGCATGTCAAAATTGCGTATTAAGGTTGACTTCTTCGAAAAAGACAGTGGCCCTAAACATACAGGTAGGGTTATAAGGTATTTCTCCCGCATTCTTAGCATGCCTTCGTGGTGGTAGTGGTCAGCACGCTCGACGCGAAGTCGAGAGGCCCTGGTTACAGTGGCGCCCGAACTAAAAGGTGGTGAATGATTATCCTTCACCACCAGGATTTGAAGATTGGGTCCCTTCGCCGTTTGAAAGTGGAAGTATATAAGTTTTTCTCCCGCCTTCTTAGCATGCCTTCGTGGTGTAGTGGTTCGATGCGAATTCAAGAGGTCCGTGGGTCGAGTTCCGGCGAGGGCATTGCTCATTTTTCTCTCACCTGCTTCCAAAAAAACCTAATGTCTCTACGGGGTTACACACGAATTTCTCTCATACAAATTTACCCAGAGACTGAAAACTCCACCCCAATCACCTGATCTCAGTGCGATTGAGAATTTATGATATTTTGTGGATCAAGAAGCTAGAAAACGTAAATTTTCAAATAAAAAATTAATTCAAAGGTATTCTTTTGAAAACATGGAAAAATATATCGCCAGATCTAACCAAAACGTTAGTAGAATCAATGCCAAGAAGACTGCAGGCTGTTGTGGACATTAGTGGACATTTTACGAAATATAAATTTTATTTTTAGTATTGGTTTTGTTTAATTTTTAAGTTATAATTATTTAGTACAAATTTTTTTCCCTTTGAATAATAGCATATCTTGTTATTTATACCTTATGAGTGATAACAAATATTCCTTTTTTTACTTATTATGTAAGTTATGAGAACTAGTTTTTATGTAAGGATTTAATTTAATTTACATTATTTTCAGTAAAATTATTGCATACATTTGTATTGCTCAAATACCTTTTTTTCTTCACTGCAGTCTGATATAGAACATCGGCATGTTAGATAAGTAGATTCTGATGTAATGCGTGTAAAAAATAGCTATAAAGCTTACCATTTCCGTCAGGAATTATTGCACAGCACATTAATGTTTCCTTCATATCTCTAAAAGCTTTTAACACCCACGATTTACTATCCCACTTTTTATCCTATTTCCTATGTTCTTATTTAAATTTATTTTTTTGCAGAAGTAGACAATTCTAAATTTTGCAGATATGTTATGCATGATAAAATAAAAATCTTGTGCAAGTTTCATACTGCAAAATCACTCAACTTTATGAGGTATTGTAGTCATTCGTTTAATTTTCCACGCCAGAGTATTTAGACAATAACATAATTTTCTTATAGAACACTTTCTGCATACTAAACGTATACATATGCGGCTGTTTTATGTACAAGACATTATTTTTGTTAAAATATCTTCAAAATTCAGACTCCTAAGGCTGTCTTATATTGGAGCTGACATCGTACATAATATCGTACAAAACTGCATATACTGATATTGCATTTCGTATTTATATATAATCTCACCTGTGTCAAATATCAAAGCGTTTGGTTTCAAGAAAGCTTATAGTTTCAGCGAAACGCAACATCAATAATTCGTGAATTCTTAAAATTTCGATGTGCTTATCATATATTTCACGCTCACTGACATGTTTGACACTTTGCTGATCTAGAAGGATAATGTTGTAGTATATGATATAGTTCAACATATAAAATTGTAATAGAATTGTGCAAGATCAGAAACTGATTCAGAGATTTAAAGGACGAAATTGAAAGTAAAAAAGTATTTCTGAGTTGGTGTTGTTGCGGGATATCTTTAAACGTGGCAATATTATAGATGAAAGCTCGAAGCTATAAATAAAGAAGAATTTTATGAAAAATTAATAAACTCAGAAGAAAGGGGCGAAAAGTACTGAAATTTTGATATGAGAAAGGTTCATTTAGTACGTGTCTGGATTATTACTTCTCTGCAAAGATTTTCAAGATACGTGTAGCCCTCTGTCAACACATACAGTGATAAATATAAAAAGACGTTAATAAAAAGTAACAGTTTTTCCCTTTGCAAATAATTTTTACTTCCTTGTACGAAGTAATGCAAGTACTGTTATAACGAAAACTTTCGGTAATCATTTCAACGAAATATCCATTTTGACCGCTCTTGAATCCATTTGAGCGATGTTTTTGCGTGATACTCGTACGTACGAGATGGTACGTACGAGTAGAAGCAGAATAAGGACTCCTTTTTCTCAAAATTGATTGTAAAATGGATTAAGAAGAGATTTTTTCCGCGAGGTCTATGTGTACATACGTAGAATGGTGAATTAAGTCAGTTTCTGCACCATCAGTGTCTTTTTGCCTAGTGGAACCAAAAATAGACTTTTCGTTTTGTGCACCGAAAAATCTGCCTTCTTGCCTGCTAGGCGAATTGTTTGTTTTTGCGTAGAAAATGTAATTTTAATTGTAAATCTCTTCGAACTGAATTTGGAAAACCTTTTGAACTGTAATTTGAGTTGTAATTATTTTTTAACACTTTGAACTGTATTTGGTGTTTTATGTTTTTCTGTATTTTACAATTTTTAATAAAGATGTTTGTATCTGTGCCTGATATTAAGTAACCTATAGTCAATGGGTAAGGTTCCCTAGTATCTGCGTAACTACCTGCATAAAAGTCATGATTCTTGAATTTTCACGTATTTTTGCCTTGCCGCGAAGTAAGAACTGAATTAATTGAATAAGAAATATATCTCTAATGGAATTCGAGGAAATAAGTTTGAATGAAAGCGAATATATATATATAATATATATATATATAATTTAATAGGTCAAACCAGCAAATATATATATATATAATTTAATAGGTCGTACAAGGAAGTTTTCTTGTGTCCAGATTGCATTTTTATATGAACGGAACTGGTTTCCAGTTATACAATAATTACCAATCTGCATTTACAATCTGGCTATTAAATGAAAACTAATAAAAAGAGTATTTCAAAGTTTAGATCAATATCATAGATAAGTTTGCAAAATCACTTCAGTTCGATAGTAACTTAACAAATATAAATTTCGTTGCACTGTATTTAAATGTAGTAGTAAGTGCTTATAAGTGCACTGTTTAAATTAACAAAATATTACGAAATAAAAGCTTGATCACCATAGAAAATTCTCTAAAATTTTACATTGTTTCGAAAATTAGTTGTTATAGTTGTTACCGGTTGACTGTTAATAATTTTCTTTTCAAAATATTTCAAAACTAGATAGGAAAAACAGTTTGCTTGTTTTTATAGTTCAACAGATGTGTTTTAAAAATTCTCCTGTGTAATGTGATATAATACTGTACTTTTTTTTCGCTATGCAGGGAACAAGAAGCACCACATTCTGCTGTTATCTCTTGGTAGGAACCGCAGCATATTTCTGCTACAAAAATGCCCTGAACTGTGGTTTCGTTTTCGATGACATGTCTGCCATTCGAGATAATAAAGATCTGAGACCAACAACACCTTTCCTTAACATCTTTTGTAATGACTTTTGGGGAACTCCTATACGAAAAGTAAGTTGTCTTATCTTTTGGTTACCTACGTACAGTGGAGCGTTGTTCATACAAACGAAACTACTACTCCTATAAAAATAGCATATAAAAATTTTTTAGATTGTAATATAATTTAAACGCCGAATATTTTTAAACTGTTTATTTTCTGCTGTTTTTATTGTTAAACACAATTTATAGAAATACTTTTACATAATGTTTAAATAAATAACATCAGGTAAAAGGGTGTATGTATGCAATTATGTGCAATATATACAATCTTTCAAATTATAAGATTAAATATATTATCATGAATAATTTTATGTGCGAAAAATAAGATGCATACGGTATTCAAATTACACAAAGATTACGTCTGCCGTGAAAAAGTCTTTTTAGCAAACAAGAAAAATTGCTATAATATTTGGCTCGCTTCGAGCGCCACTATAAATTTCAAATATTCCACACGTTCCCCTGCCATCCCAATTGATACTTTATTCATCAGAGGGTTCAAATGTTAGCAAGAATGTTGCTTAGTAAAATTTAAGTATTACAACAAAATTATAATAATTACTTCAATGATAATTCAAATATTAAGTTCGATAACAATAATACGTCTAATAATTCTGAAATGCATTATAAATCATTAAACACATTACATTATTTAATGTTAAAATCTAAAACAACGGAAGAAATATAATACGATATTAAAACTAAAGATTATTTAACAAACACTAATGTGAAAAATATATGTTACTTAGAAATTAATACTCAATGATGATATTTATTTACCAAACATTAACTAAGCTCCCATGTACATTGAAAAGTTCTTATATACGATATCTGAAAAGAAAAAACAAAATCAAATAACAGCTAAACCAAACAACAACTATATCACTTTTGGATTTTAGGTTGTACAAAATTTGCACTAATCTTTTAAATACCACTTGCTCAGTTTTTATAGAGTAAAGACCTTATGAGACTAACTTCCACCAAGAAGTGTTTCAAGAATTCTGCTAAGTTTATTAACGTGTCGCGGTTGTTTGGCATCTTGCATAGTTGCAGTGTCACCAGTTTTGAATTTGTCAGATTTGTTAAGGAAATTAATGTTATTTGCTGCTTCAAAATTTAACAAATATTCTATTTGAAAGAGTCTCTGAATTTTTTCACTGATGTCTTCCTGGCAGTTTTACGGACTTCTCAGGAGAATTTAATTGCAGATACATTTAGAGATCTGTAGCCTTATATTAAGTGACCTATAGTCAATGGGTAAGGTTCCCTAGTATCTGCGTATCTACCTGCATAAAAGTCATGATTCTTGAATTTAGAACAGCTTCGGTGTCTAGAGCAATGTCTAAATTTTCGCAGATGAAAGAAGTTTTGCCTAAAACCCTTCTTAAAAGCAGTTTTGAAACATCGTATACATCTTTCCTAAAACCCGTCCCATCATGCTGCTTTTTCAATAACGTATCTCCACTTGATTCCATTGCGAGGCATAAAAATTCTTAACATCTTGTGTGGTTGATTTTTCCACATGTTTCTGAAATCGATTTCAGCTCGCCTGAGCGTTTGCACATTATCTGTGATGATTACTGAGCATAAACCTTTTCTTGCGACCAATACTCTGAGTGTCTAAAGAAATGTTTCAGTTGATAGATTGCTGACAAAATAAAAGTGCATCACCCTTTTAACAGTACAGGTACACAGAAAAATATTTAATTTCTTTGTGTTTTATATACACCGATCCAGCAGTGTCCAGATCAAAAGCAGAAAATGTTTTGGATTGCTTAATTCGAAAATCAGGAAGGGAAGCTATTAGTTGAGCTCAAGAATGTGAATTGAAGTGTTTACAAATTACACATTTATTAAGAGCAGATTGGATGAACTAACTGTCTGCCTTTAATGATCTAAAATTTGCGTCGAATTTGAGTTTGAGTGTCAGCAATTCCAAAATGAAATACCTTCTCGGGGGCATTTCTCACGATCAATTCAGTGAACCAGTATTTCTTGGGTCAAACTATCGTCTACTTTTTATAAAAGCATAGATCTAAACTTTGTAGTTTCCTTCCTACATGGAGTATTCTTTTACTATCAACAAATAGGTTTTGTCTTTAATTTTTGATTCACTAGGAATCAATTATCTCATTTTCAAGAGCCAGACTTCTTTAGGAAATTATTCTGCTTAATTTCTCTTATGCCTGTAGTTCTGGGCTTCATCATTATCAACAGCATTTGAAGCTGATTTATGATTACCTTCCTTTTTCAGGCTGGCATTACGAATAAATCTCTTTATCCATGCTCTAGTTTTATTTATAAAACTACATTTAGTTAAATCCAAAAGACGACTTATGGCATAATCTTTACTAGTGCAATAAATTTATATCTTACATTTTGGTCTTCTTTCTTCATTTATCTTCTCATCAGTATTATCTTGATCTTTAAATTTTGGCCATTGTTGTTTAGACATTCTTAACCGATTTGAACTATTGCACCAAAAGGCTATTTCCAACAATTCTGAAGGTAAGAAACTTCAAAAAATCACATCAGCTGATTTTTGAGTGGAAGGAATCTATATTTTTTCAGAATTTTACCGAAGTTTCTTTCATTGCTGGCAAATTCCACAAGCGACTATTTTAAAATTAAGTTTAAGACAAAAAATGTCATGGTTCGTCATGGGCATAAGAAAATGGTGGCGTTTCTTTATTGAAAATTATTATGAGCAGGATTCCCAGAGTTTGGCATATTCTAAAACTTTGTCCACTTTTACTAAAGTGGTTGCGATAACACGCATACCAATTTTTCACTGTAATCACAGTGCTTCCTTTCGAAATGCCTACGAAGTTCTAGAAGTTCTAGTTGGAGCCAAAGAAATGCACGCTAGAAATTTTTTATATGCAACATACATCGCTTCGAAGGGAATTCTTATTTAATTTCCTTGTGTTTTACATGTAAAGAGGCAGTTTAAATGTGTACATTTTAAGATGCAATTTAAATGATTTTTTTTTTTGTTTATTACGTGCTCCGCCCTTAGGCACTACACGGAAAGTGAGGGATGCGCCGTGGAGGTCTTTTTAAGAGAAACTGGCTCGTATCCACGTTACACATGGGGAAAACCACGAAATTGCCCATGCAGCCAGCCTGTTCGAACCCCGGACCAAACTACCAGTGTTCAGCGGCTTTTACCTCTCGGCCCCTGGTGGGCAATTTAAATTAAGCTCGTCATATTTTCATTTTGGCGAGTTTTTTTTGTTTTGACCTTGCTTTTTGGATGGAACTGCACATTGGTCCCTAATCGCAGACTATCTGAAGAGGTGCCTGCTCCTCTTTCTTTTAAAATCCCGTTTTTAACCAAAAATCTGCACTGTGGAACTAAAATGGAGACAAAGGCAAACCGATATAAAAAAGTACAAGAAATAGGCTATTTTGCTTTAAATAAGTCTACATGAAAATATGTTGTAATGTTAGAGGTTACAAAGTAATTTTGGTCAATAAAGAGACAGGAAAAATTTAAATGAGTAGAAAAAGGAAAAATAGAAAAAAAGAAAGTTGGTTAAAAAAGAGCACAGTATCAATATTATGGGAAGTGATAATGTTCTATCTAAGTCTATTTTCAATTCTATCATCTAAACGGAACACAAACATTTATTACGCATATACAGTTACGAACTTGAATATCTATTCTTAGTTCCAAGGTTAATGTCTTGTTACCGACATCTCCTTCCAACTTTTGATTTTACATCGTGAAAAAGGAAATATAACTAAACACAAAATTTTAACGAGGGAAAGTTAATTACTTAATTAGTGAACTAAAGTAATACTTTCGAAATAGATTAAGTAAATAGAATTATACATTTAAACATTATCTTTCCCAATCCGGATCTTATCTCAACTTATTACAGCTAAGATAATTAAACTTCAAAAATACTGAAAAGAAATAATAATTTACATCAATTAAAAACACAATTTTGCCTCCATACCTTAGTTCGATAATTTTTTCGTTGTCACAGGGGGAAATTCTTTCTATTCATTGTTAACTCACTAAAAACGTTCGGTCTATCAATTTCGAGGGAATAAATGCATTTCACAGGTCAAGTTCACCTGCTGCGGTTTCCACTTTAACAACATATACCTTCGTTGTCTCTTTCGGGAGATGTTTCTACTACGCGAACTATAGACCAGTCTATTCGATTCTTGTTATCACTACCGTTAAACTCCAAGTCGCCCATGCAGCCAGCCTGTTTATGGCTGTTTATAATAAATGTTTGATGGCTGTCCCAATTGATCGTTTAGAGGACAGCTAAGTATACATCATGAAATATTTTCCGAAAATATTATTTTAAATAATACAAATATCTGTATCTTGTTTTCGGACTGATGGTAGCTAGATGGTCTGAGTCTGGTTCTTCAGCATTATGCCCTTCTTGATGTGGTTTATGTGATTACGGCAAAGCCTCGAGGGCTATGTGCCTAAGGGGAGGGATCCACATAATTGGGATCCAATGCAAAATCAACATTTCCTCGTAAGAAAGAGAGGACTTTCCCGGAGCATCGTCTCAACATATCTGGAATTTTAAACTTCCCTTTGTAGTTCCGATTAATGCCGTCCAACCAGTATAGTGGTTAGTGATCCACCTGCTGTAGCAATGGGCTCGGGCTCGAATCTCGAAGAAGAAATGCTTTTAATTGTCTGTCCTTTCATGGGAGGCAACGGTAGACACCTATTAGTTGCCTCCGTAATAAAATGGCCACCACGTTCAGCCCTTCTAGTGGTGCAAGGCTAATGGCTATTAAATAAAGCGCCATGCCATTAAAAAGTGTCTTTGCTTACTGGGACGCTTAAAACATTTTATGCCGCACAGCCGGTATAGTGGTTATAGAATCTGATTGCCGTAGCGATGGGCCAGAGATCGACTCCTGGAGAAGGCATAGTTGTAACTGTCCGTCTCTTCATAGGAAGCTACGGTGGCCACCTATTAGGTGCTTCCATAATGAAATAGCTACCACTTTTGGTCCTTGTAATGGTGCAAGTCTGATGGCTATTAAATAAAGTGCCGGCCATTACACAAAATTTCTAGATTCAGATAAAGTACTTTGAATAATAAATTCCATTGATCCCGCTATTCAGTTCACTTTTCAACTTGAGACATTCCAATCCTCGACATCTTAGTCACACGCAACACATCTAACTTCAGCACTACTTTATACCTTAAATCTTCAACTGTTTGCCTTCCACACACTTTAAATAAATTATATCATTTGGCTAACCAGAAGTTAGCTTCATTTTACTCTTTCGTTGTTATCCGAGTACTTCGGATTTTCTCCTCCAATTCGGCTCTTGATCAGGAACTAATCTAGTATTTAAAAGCGGTTGACATTGACAGAGGTTTTTCACTTAAGTTAGGCGGATCACGACCCGGCATTTGGGAAACCCTGCTATAACGAGAAGAATGAATACAACTGCATTGTTGCTAATCGGCAAGTAAAATTCGTAATGCTCGTGGTAGGAAGTACGTTTAAATTTTGGGTGCTAATTTGAAGTAATAATAGCCATTATTGAATCGTAAAAGGAGATCAAATTAACAATCAGTGTTGGAAGTATTAACAAGGGTAAGTTTGAGCTATTTTAAAGTTTGACAGCTAATTTGCTTGTAGATTGTTGTGTTAATGATAACGGATGCAAAACTAACAACCATTTATGGGAAGCATGCCAGCAAGGAAAATGTTTGAACTAATTTTAATTTTAGCTCATATAACATCGTGCACCAGATTTCACGTAAAATAGAGAAGCTTTTTACAGGTAGAAATAACGAGTGAAATTTGACTTTTCCGGTGTATCTCCATCTTAGGAAAATGAATAGGCTGACTTATTAGCCAAAGAGGCAGCTCAAGGAATAAGTGCCATGAAAACATGGCATTTCCTATCCAGCTTCACACCTGAAACTAAAACTGCAAAATACATCTAAAAAAATCATGGCAACAACAGTGGGACTGCTAATACAGGAAAAATTTAAACGTCTCTCTCTTAAAGTTATTTTCTCCCCGACTCATGTTACTAGATAAATCGTGTGGTTTATTCCGGGGCACGGCCCCATTCCCACGTGCAAGTAATCTCTCTTTAAAAGATTCTTGTGCATGTGTAGAAAGAGGTCGGTCCGAATATTGTCTTCTTTCCTGTCTCTTAACAGATTCACTTCATCTCAAGAAGCCACATTCAGAAGAGGATTGATTCCATTCCTAAGTTATGCACTTAAAAATAAGCACTTAAGGAATAGAATTGCGAAGGATATTGATTTTCTACGTGCTAGAAATCAAGAGCTATAGAGCTCAAAGTGCTTCAGTAACAGCGAAAATTTTGAAAGAAAAAAAAAGCATTTAAACACAGGTGAAATATTCATCCGTGCAACTCCACAGAAAAGCAATAAAGAACATGAAGAGGATATAGAGAACTCACAAGTAGTGCAAGAGACTACGTTTATGTATCTCTAATCTCTATCTATTATTTATCTAAGCAACGAATGGCCAGGTGTGATAAAAATGCAATTATTTCGTACACAGTTAAATTCTGTGATCCACCAGTCCAAGCAAGCTAACATATTACTTAACAGTGTAATGTATTCCTCTTATAACCATAGCGGTATACAATGCTTAATGTGTAATTTAGGCAGCGATATCAGTTACAGCAAACACCAGTAGCACATCGGAAACAAAACGGCACCGTGACCCCAGGAAGGCGATGTAAATATGGATAGATAGGAAAAGGTGTCTTTAGCTACTTACTGAGAGTAAATAATAGGTGGCCTCTGCACTTTTTCCTAACCCAGTCTAACCTAACCTATACTTTCATCTCAACGGAAAACTGGAATAGTCATTTATTAAAATAATTATAATTTAACGATGAAAATATTGCACTTATTAGTTAGTATTAGTAAAAATTTTATATTTAAGTACTATTTTTGAAATAAATAAATAAATAAAATAAATTAATTAATTAAATAAAAATTAAAACGTCCAAAGAAAACTAGCTCTTTTAGAATATCGAAAGGACTCAGAGACACTTTTTTACTTCTGAGCACATAATATACTGACAGAAATGAATTCTGCATGTATTTTATAGGTAACGTAAGCTATCAAACTGAGTTTCATATTTTTTTTGGCAAAACACTAACTGCTTTTGGAGCGTTTTGCGTAACACATTTTGGGAAACTCTGTATTATATTTAATGCTGCATTTAATTTACCTTATGAAGTATAGCTACATTCACTTAGTCAAATTCCCAATTCCTTCTGCTGCTTAAGCATTTGCTTAAACTCAAATTTAAACTGGAAATCAAATTTAAATAATTACAAATGAAAAAATTTATCAAATGATAATCAAAATAATTAAATTTAATAAATCTCTCTTAACCCAGAAAAATTTAAATAATAACAGATAAATAGCTACTGCTCTGCCGAATTGCAACCCATATACCATGCAGAGTAATTTAAATTCACATGACAATAACGTTGACGTTAACGTGTTTATATTCTGTGATTTTTTGAGTAGGAAGCGTGGAAATCAATTTTAAAGTAGCCAGGACTTAAAACATGAATACTCCTCTAACCAACTAGCCATTCTAAATGTATATAAGACAAGGGCATACATGGAAGGATGCGAATTCTTATATTCCCCTACGGACACTTAAAGCGCCCTTCAGGAGAAGCAAGAGATCCAATCAAGCGTGACGAATTATCCTCCACCACATTTTAACGTGGAGCCACTATACTGAAATTTAAGTATTGTCAGAGCAGGAAATGTGAAAAATCAACTGTAATCTTGAAAGAAAGAGAAAAAATCGCTCGAGTCGAAGAATGAATTTTTCATTTGTTAACTAGATGTTCCTAATATAACAACATGAGTACACATAGGGAACGCTAAAATTTCTTCTAAGTTTTTCTGCCACTCATTCCTGAATTCTTATTAATTCCGTTCTATAAAAAGTATTTGACAGAAGGGTGCATTCTTCTGCGTAGATTAGTAGTAACGACTAAATTAAAAGTGTTCTATGAACAGACTGGAGTATGCGTTATCCAATACTTCCTTGCTAATCAAATAAAAACTCTATCATTCAATCAATGTATTATAGCTTTCTGTAACTATATTTAATTCTCTTATTTGCGTAATTTTGGTGCGAACGAGTGAAACAAAAGTAGAACAGCTTGAATAGCAAATTCAGAAGACTGACTGTGAGCAAAATGTTATTCATATTTAAAAGAATGTAACAATTTCTTGCGTCAACCATGATATTAAAAAAATTGTTTTCCTTATTAGAGTTTCATCATTTTAAGGTATCCGACTACGTTTGACTCACAGGTTTTGGGTAATAATACAAATAATTCCGTTACTGATGTTATTCAACAGAATGCTGCTTAAAATGACAGAAATATGTGATAAATATATTTTCAAAGCACACTTTTTTCTTTTTTTCTCGTATTTTAGGTTAAAAATATGTTGAAATTTCAGAATACTAGATACATTCCTATTAAAATATTAATCAGTATTTTAGTTTTATTCTTTCACTTACATTTATTAAGGCATAAGGAATTAAATGGACAAAAGTCTACGAGACAAATTAAAATGTCTACTAAATATGCCTGTTTGAAGTACATTCACTAGCTATTTTCGAGAAATTTCTCTCTTTTCATTTACAAAAATGTCTGCAGAAATTTTAAATATTACACAACCTAAGCTTTCATTCTATTTAAGCCCACCAGCGGCCAAGCGGTAAAGTCGCTGAACGCTTGTAGTGCTGTCCGAGGTTCGAATTTTGCGAACGGGCTGGCTACACGGGGTTTCTAGTAGTTTTTCCCAAGTGTAACGTGTATACAAGCCAGTTTGCCTTACTGAGTCATCCACGAAAGCATCCCTCCCCTTAAGGCAGAGAGCCCTCGAGGCTTTCCCATAATCACATAAACCAGTGTTTTCTGTTTAATTCCCATTATTTTATGGAATTTTTGTGGAACGTTTCATAAGATTAGTATAGTAATATTTTAAGTCGCAGTTGTTTTCGAAATAGAACAGTTGAAAAAAATCAATTTTTTTCCCGAAAATAGCTTTAAAATGTAATGCAATTAAGTCGCAGTTGTTTTCGAAATAGAACAGTTGAAAAAAATCAATTTTTTTCCCGAAAATAGCTTTAAAATGTAATGCAAACACAAACAGAATGAAAAGAAAATGTAGCCAAATCTGAAACTAAAATTGCGAAATTAATCTTGTTCTCGAGCAATTAATAAAAAATAGAAAGTTTCAAAATCATCTTTTGAACATCTCCAAAACTGTTCAGATAAAACGTTCTCAGTTTAAAATTTTTTGGAGTAATTTGTCTCTCTTTTAAACATCAACTTCCGGTTCACGGTCAACAGCAACTTCAGACTCACGGCGTAAAACAAAAACAGCCATAAATCTGTTTCAGAGTCTGGAGAGACAAACCCGAAGTAATTTTGAGAAGCTAAAAATATAAGCTTTAAAATACAGTAATAAAAAAAATTCTAAAAATTATCATCATAATTGAGGATTGGAACGTAGTAGGATACCTTAAATGAAATTTGTTTCATTTTTGTATATAATAGTTTGCTTCTGAAACAGCAACCTTTATAAAAAACAATCTCTTTTTAGGAGCAGAGTCATAAATCTTATCGCCCACTGTGCGTCCTTACGTATCGTGTTAACTACTACTTCCACAAGTTACAGCCCTTTGGATACCATTTGACAAATATTGTTTTGCACAGTGTCGTATGCTTGTTGTACATGAGGTGAGTTATTTTGTTTTAAAATAAAGTTTTTCAAAATGTGTTTGACTATGTAAAGCATATTACACAGATATATAAAACTAACAATTTTATTAGTGCTCTTTTTTCAATTCTGAATAGTTTTTAATCATTTCTAACATTAAAATATGATAACTTTTATGCGTTGTTCTAGCTGAAGTATATGCTAAAAACAAAACGACTGGTAGAAATTGGCCTCTTTCTTTTTATTAATTTATATTAATCTTTAGTTGATAGCTTGTGAGTGTCTGGCAGAAAGAAAGGGATCGAATATGAACACTGATAAGTGTGTTAAGAGTTATCTTTTGCTTTCTGCCACCCTCATATTCTCTGAATATGTAAAAACCCATGACTTGAGCTCTGCACACTAATCCAGAGGATCTGAACGTTTTAGATTTACAGTGTTTATATTTAAGAATTAGACAGAAAATTATTCAGACCATTTTCTGTTTAGATATGAAGCTCTCTAAATAGTGTAACAGTTGACAGGAGGAAATGCGAAGATTGTTGCAGAAATCAATTATACTCCAACGATTCTCCTTTAAGAAAGCGTAAATAAAATCTAGGTAATACTGAATTCTAGAGCACCCTTTTCTGACACTCAAATGATTACAAATCCAATTGGTAATTTTCATATAAGGCCCAAATTTCAATAACTTAATCATGATGACCTGTCGAAATAACGGCTCAAGCTCAGGAGATGCTTTAATAAAAATGAATATGAATTAGCTAAGAAAGCTTTTTTGTCTCAAGTCCAATTCTTAAGCGAAGTCTTATATGCTAATATATCTCTGGAATTTGATGCTGACCTAGAGTTTTATTTGTGTATTTAGTAGATATCCATTAACAAAAAACACATGGAAAATTATTATTTTGAATGAGAAAATTTGTTTCTGATCAAAAAATATGTATAGTATTTTTATTAATGCAGTCACCCAAATCTTTTAAGGTAATTTGGCATGCTTATTTAATCAACAATGGCAAACAGTATGAAAGCTAGAATCAAGGATGAAGGAATCTCTAAGGGCAAATAGTTCATATTCATGTTTCACGCTGGGGAAAAGCGAAAATGCCCATTCAGCCAGCCCGTTGCTGGTATCTAAACTCCAGATCAACTGCTATTGTTCCTACTTTGTATCCAATTGGGTAGGCTCTACATTCATTTTTATAGTACGGTAAGGTTGCGCAAGTCGTCCACCGCTTAATTCGTACCTTTTAAATATTAGGCGTAATATCACGCCAACTGCGCCTCTTCCGGAAAAATGAGTTACTCCCCCGTAGTCAACCATATTGTTTCATACCGTGTTCGTGTCCCTGTAACTATTGTGAGGAAGACTGCGAAGAGAATGTTACTCAGTGCCTAAAATACAAAGTATGGGTACATGACTTAATGCGCTAATCATTGTTTTAATTAATTGTATAAATAAATTAATCGAGATAAAGAACGTTTTATTACAATTGTCCAATTTTTAAGGTAATACGACTTAAGCTGCAGGTGGTATAGCTTAGAATACTGATTGTCTAATCTCTAAGTCGTATTATGTTCGTGTTCATAAGTTTTATTAATTTTATACAAGAGAGTAGGTTGTATGAAATTTTATTGTAATTTATATCAACAATGACAGAACAAAATATTTTTACTTCACACAATTTTTATTTTTTGATTGATCGCACGACTTATATCTGTTTTCTCTTAGGGGGTACGACTTATGCAATTTACCCTACTTACAAATAACAAAAATATTCATGGAGTTAATATCGTTTTAGCTTTTGTTACGTGGAAAGTAATGAAAAACAGTATAGTGAATGATGTTACCTAATTTGATTGCTTACCATAATTTTGTTTTAAGAAACATTTGAGTTCAAAATTGAAATTTATGCTGTAGTTTATCCAAATTCTCAGGTTCCTTTAAGTAAGTACATGTATCTTGATATTTACACTCATTCAGTAATTTTAACATCTACAAAGATATTAGTAATCTAATTGTTGAAGAGTATTGATTGACACTAGGCGAAAAGTCATTAAATAACATGAAAAAAGACGTGCAATGGCTACATAATAATTTTATATCATTACATAAATTACTATTCCTTGTAAATAATTAAGCCTTAGGGATTTGAGCACACTCTGACTTAAAATGGATTTTCTCACTTACTAAAAAGTGTTTATCATAATAACCTAGAGTTATTTGGCTGGGAAAAGTATTGCAGTTGAAATGAAACAGCGAAGAATTTTTTCCCGAAAAGTTAAATTTATAAAATATGTTGATCTCTTAGAAGAAATGCATACACAGTTTTAAATTCTTTATATATTCATGAATATACTCTTGCTTGCGTACGGGTTAGTAGCGCATTGAATGCACACAGAACCTATGATAAGCTTGATAAAATTTATTTTCTCAAAAGAAACAATTCTAGTCTTTCCAAAGCATTCTTAGCGCTTATTAGTATTTTTTTATTTCGTGCTCCGCCCTAAACACTATACGGAAAGGGAGGGATGTCTCGTGGAGGTCTTTTTAAGGAAAGCTGGCTCGTATCCACATGGGAAAAACCACGAAAACCCCCATACAGCTAACCCTCTGCTGGGATTCGAACTCCGGACCAAACTACCGGTGTTCAATGGCTTTTACCGCTCGGCCACTGGTGGGCCATTTTATTAATTTATTGATTGATTTCCTTTCCTTATTACAAAAAAAGCTGAGCTCAATGTAAAAGTCTTCTGCCATTTCGGAAATGCCATTTCGGTCCCTCCTTTTTTTATAGACAGAATTTTTACTAATCTCGAAAGCAACAGAGTTTAAGTAGTGATAAGCATTCAAATTATTTCCTATGAAATATACCATATCATTTTTTATTTTTTCCTTTGCTTTAAATTTTTTCCTTTGCTTTAAACTTTGCTTTAAATGCTGATTTTCGTACTTTTATTGTGATACGTAATATTATATTCTTTTATGGGGCTTTAAAATTCTAACATCCAAAAATGTATCTGTTATGTAAATTAGATATTTTCAAAACTAATGAAACAAACACGTCAAACCTTTCCAAAGCAAGCACGATAAAGCGCATTAATTAAGGACTTTCTTGAATTTTTTTTAAATTTTTGCTTTAAACTCGTTCCTTATATTTGTCACTATGTTCAAAACATTGCCATCGAACTTTAAACTGTTTCCTGGTAAGTTGTCGGGCTCAAAGTTTATACGCACACTCATTGTGAACGAGATAACAATGCACTGAAGCAATGTTCGTAAAATCAAATTTATATGTATATTTTTAATTGTATATTAACTAAAAACTCTCAGTATTTTCTACTTTCTGATTTTAAGATAAATTTTTAAAATTCCACGGTTTTTTTCGATCATTTGATGCCATAGAATTGTTGGAAGTATAGGAGTGATTATTCATAGCTGCAAAAAATATTTTTCAATTCAATAATTTGATTGGTAACGTGTCACTGAGACTAAAAATCTTTTATAAAATAAGGTTTTTATTTAACTCATAAATAAGTATTGTTTTTATTCTCAATGTCACATTGTTATTGAGACTAAAAGAATGAAAATAAAAAAATATAAATTTTTTTATAAAATGTTTTGAATTTAAAACTTATAAATTAATTAATGTACTGAAAGAAAAAAAATAATTCATCAGGAAATTTAATGTAAACAAGAGATTAAATGTTTTTATTTACAAAATTGATGTACAATTTTAAATTCTCTTTAAAATATTCATCTACAATTTTATATCACAAATAATAAAAATGTAGTCGCCCAAATAACGAAATCTATTAATTTAATTATGTTGTTAAAAGTATAAATCGTTATCTTTATAAATTTGCAAAAGGCATTGTATGCTTTTGTTATTCTTCATATAAAATTGTATATAAATTTCGTACAGAAAATTATTTATTCTTTTGTTCCCATTAAAATATGTGATAAATAAGTTTTCTCCTTTCGTTTCATTAATCACTTTATGATTTTTAAATAAAATCTCATTTGGATAAAAACATTTCTTTGTATGTTTCTAGATTTCAAGATGACGAGCGTATTATTTATAAGAGTTTAATTAATATTTTATTTCTCGTAATTGTAAAACGTGATACGTAAATGAGAGTTAAATATTTAAAAGCATTTGATTTTTCTCTATGGAGTTAAAACTCTGTTACCCCCATTTTGAACTGTTTCGAATTCTTAAGTAGAATATAGAATTCTATTGTTGTCATTAGCATATGCAACTCGAATGAAATCATCTGGAAAATAATGAACACTTTGCACACATTATATTTTTAAAAAATTGTTATTCTTTTTCAGAATATGCGCCATGTTCGTTCCGAAAACAACAGCATTTTTAGCAGCTTTACTTTTTGTAGTTCATCCTATCCACACTGAAGCAGTAGGTATATTACAATAATATTATTTTAAATTAATGTCTTGTCACTAAGAAAGGAAAGACTTAATGACAGAATAATTATGGCAATAAAAAATTCTGCCTCAAAATAAAATATGTAAAATTATTTTATAATAAGTCTCTGATTTAATATGACTCTTAGAAGATACATAATAGCTAAAGTACAATGGTAATTAAAAGCAAAAATTAAGTTTTTTTTCAAAATATCTATAATTTGTAATGCAGTATATATTTAGATAATGTATTTCCTATCAATTATTCTTCTTCATGTAGTTTGTTTCAGGTACCGTGTGAGTATAAATTTCCATAATACTTATAGTATACTTCTAGACAATACTTATAGTAGATAGCTGAAAGCATATTGGTGTAAATTTTAATATTTATACAATCTATTTTCTGTAACTTTTTTTCCTATTATGTACTGTCTTAACTGACATATTTAGGTATTGCATTTTGTGTGAAGTTTATTTTTTGTGTCCTTTATTTCATCCTAAATGTTGTACATATGTTGTGTATCACTATTGTATATTCCAGCACACTGCTTTCCAGATGCAACTAGCTTTAGATGCTGGATAGTTTAACGATAGATACGCAGGAAATACTTCACCAAACGGAGAGTCATTCATCGATTTGAATGCATCAATGCACAAATTCTCTCCACAATTTCTTTTGAACGGTTGGTTGACCGCTCCTTTGAACGGGTGGTTCGCTCCTTGAGTCACGTTCTCTTCCCTCACAAAATGAGATATTGTATCATTCAAGCACACGAAAACGAATCAGAGCATTATTTGGTAAACATTTTTGATATTTGTTTCAGCGTTTGACAAAGGTAACGTTTTCCTTTAAATTTCTTCACATCAGTTTGGGTCTAAAGGGGACAGGAAATGTTTTATCCAAAATTCCATTGCTTTGTGCTGTTAAGCAGCAATTAATTTTAGGCATGTAAAAGATTTCAAAGATTTCGTATTTTGAGAAGGTGGGTGATTGCTAAGGTTTTGTCCACATTTTACGCTTTTAAAAGTCTTTCACGTCTTCGTTCAAGATAGATAAACATCAAGATTAAAGGGTTTAATCATATCCCATTTGTCACTCAATCTTAGATAACACATTGATAGCTTTTAGAGGCATTAGGTTGTTTTGAAGCAGGATAGGTGAAACATATGTAATGCCATCGTCAGAACTCGAACCTCGACATCTCGAATACGCGCCGAGTGTGCTACCGTTACACCATGAAGGTGTGCTACCGTTACACCATGAAGGCGTGCTGGAAAGAGGAAGAAAAGAAACCTTATATACTCCCCCTTTTAAAGAGTGACTGGGGATTAGGGCAACAATCGATTCTAATGGTTACGAATTAGTTTTCGCCACTCTTTTAGTTCGGGCGCCGCCCTCGCTGGAACTCAAAGCTGGACCTCTTGAATATGAGCTGAATATTCTACCGTTACACCTCAAAGGCATGCTAGAAAAAGAGAGAAAATGCCTTATAAGCTTCAACTCGGGTAATACAAACTGTTAAAATTTAGTGGAAATTATAGTCAGACAAATCGGTTGACATTGTCAACAAAATCCTTTCATTCACATATTTCTGCGAATACGTGAAAAAGATAAGGAGAAGATAAGAAAGCTAAGGATAAAAGAATAAGTTAAAAAAAATACATTATAGTTTCAATAAACAAAAAAAACAAAAAAAAAAAAATCCTTTGACAATTTAATCGTTTTCCTGCCCTAAATTTTGTAATATTATATAATAAGCTTTAATCATCTTTGCTTCTTTCGTACATGATGAATCCCGTGTAAGTCTACGTCTACAACCTATTTATACCAATCGCTCTTGAACACAATATTTTCTCAACAATTACGCGTTATTTTCCATTTATAATTACGTTCCTTAAGTTGTTTCTATGAAAGATGGGACACATCGTATATTTTGTCGAATCTGAATCTTAAAGGGATCTCGAATGTCGAATCTTTCGAAGTTCAGATCTGTTTAAGCTTCCATATAAGGAAAAGAAGTTTACTTAAAGTTTTTATTTAAGGCAAATTTTAATTTTTTTTAAAAATAATTTTTAAATACAATTCTTAAAATGACACCTATATTTACTTAAAATACACTTATAATATCTAGGAAATTATGTACACAATTAAAACGTTTGAATTTTGAAATTCATTGTCTCAAAATAATATGATAAACATATTTATGTATCATTCAATTTTTACTTGTTTCAAGAATCAAGTTAAGTCAAATGCATAGGAAAGAGAATTATTTCAAGATTTAATACAGTAAAGTGTTACGAATGAAATGCTAAATTCTTTCCCAAAAATTATGAGTGTATGGTATTCAAGGCTGCTAAGTGGAAATATTAGCAACCTAGGTCCTCTGAAACTGTTACAATCGAACTTAATTTTTATGAACGCTTTTATTGAACGTCAGTATAGAACATCGAACTTAATTTTTCTTAATCTAAATAATTAATAGAATATTGTGCAATTAAAAGAATATAAAAAAAATCTGAAAGGTTTCAGATTTTAAATTACGTCCAAAGAGGCGTTTTTTAATGTTTTTTGTGTTACTTTTATTTATTAAATATCATGTTCTTCGCATGTAAACCATAAAACTCAGTTCAATAGCAATGTCGCAAAATTATTTTAAAATGAGCATATCTTTAGAATTTCCGATACACATTTCCACACGTTGGTTCCACACAGATACACAGTTCCACACGATAAAAAGTTTTTTTTTCCCTCAGATTGTTGCCATTGTTCGCTTTGAAATCCTTGAGTTTGTTTCTCTAAAATTTATTAAAGTTTTAGAAAATATGAAATCGATCATAAAACAAATTGCAAATTTCAAATTTGGTCTTCCACATGCCTATATTCGAAGGAAGATTACGTCATTCAAATTTGGATGGCTCTATGTACCGTTGTTTTATCACAATGCGAGAAATAGACATACATTTATTGCAGTGTAGGGTTATATTTATTTTAACTAACATTTATTTTAAGTTTAAACTATCTTTCCTGTCAAGCCTTACTTTCCCCTGGAATTGCCAATGCCAGAGTATGTAAATTTTAGTAGAACGCGCAAGGATTCAAATTGTCAGCGAAAGTATTCTGAGTTAAATAGAAAGGAAACGAGTTCGAAAGTGTGCTTTCTTACTTCACGATCGTGGAGGTGGCTAGTTAGAAATCGAAGAACCACGCGTTTCGGCCTGTGTGTTTGCCTCGGCAGTTTGTTAATCTTTCAACGTAATATTCAGAAGTTTGCTGAACTATCAGCGGTATCTTAGAACGCGGTGAGGTTAGTTACGTTCAGAGAGCCTCGTAGTTAGTCACTTGTTACTATTCTTTTCTTAGTTTCTTATATTTATTTTACCGCCGGGTCGGCGTAGTTTGTGAGCGTCAAGAGCACGCATTTGTAACTTCTAAAGTTGAATAAAAAGGGATTTAAACCCTTCACAAGACTTTGGTCTCCTTTCCAGTTCTCAGCAGTCACCACTATTGTTGCGTGCTGGTTGGAAGCGCGCAACGTTACATTGGCGCCCGAACACTTGTCGAACTGAAATGGCCGAAAATTGGATGAAAGTTGCTGGACAACAACAAGAAATGGCAAGCCAATTGGAAGGATTTGGATACCTGGTCCAGACGATGAGAGCGTCAATTAAGCCAAACGTCAATTTCGACGGAAAACATTCGGTGGCGATATTTCTAGAAAGCCTCGACAATCACTTCCAGCTCTACCCTGTGCCTGAAAGACAAAAAGTTGCCATCGCCACATCTGCACTAAGAGGACAGGCCGCGCTATGGTGGAAGAATATAGGCAAATTTTTATTAGGGGAATTCGGAGGCCAGACGTATACATTTGAAAACTATCGTTATTAAAGGCCTTCCCCATAGTGAAAGATCGAGCAAGACTAGAAGCCGAACTGTATAGTTTTTATCAACGGAATATAGAAGAGTTGACGGACTTTATTCTGCGAAACATTAAGCTGACGGATATGCTGTATGGGAAGAAACCCGACGCGGAGATTATTGAAATAATCTTACCAAGATTGTTACCTGCTGTTCAAGATTACTTTGAAATTAGAAACCCAAGCACATTGCAGGAGCTCTTCGAATTGGCGGTCAAGTTTCAAAATCGCAGAATAGCGGAAAAAGCTAGAGGGGCATCGTATTCTCAAAGTATCCGAAGGCAATCTTCAAATGAGCAGACCAGAAATGCAAACCTCTCCTATGGGAAAAAGAGCTATCAAGCTAACTCATGGAAGCTCGAAGGTCAAGGAGAAAAAGGAAATTTGAAAAAAACCGTCCGCGTACCCAGAAGGCAGAAGTTGAAAGAAAAGCTTTAAACGAGTAGAGGGGCCTGTGAAAGCGAGAGTCCAGACCCCGGAAGTTTTAAAAATCCCTCAAGAAGACACTTAAATACCGTCATCGTAGAGAACTCCCAGTTACCAATTATACAAGTCTTGGTTGGCGATGTACCAGTAGAAGCCCTCATCGATACAGGAGCAGAAGGTAATTTTATGAGTGATATTTTTTTAAGAAGAACTTTAATAGGATTCGATTATTTAAAAATGAAAACACAGAAATCATAGCAGCACAAGGACAAACTTGTCAATGTATCGGAAAACTATCTTTAAAGATACAGGTTCAAAACGAAAGCCTTAAAGTATTACTTTTTGTAGTAAAAAATTTGCAAAGTCCACTTATTTTAGGTATGGAGTTTTTAAAAACCGTAAAGGCCAAACTGAATTTTCAGGAAAGTTCTATCGTGCTGGATAGGGATCGGAGGGTGGTGGAACCAGTGGAACAACCGCAAGTCGACCTTAGCCATTTGAATGACCATGAAAGCCAAGCCATCCAGCAAGTGGTGAGTACTTTTTCAAACTCGTTTTCAGAACGGCCTGGTAGTTGTCAAATAGTTACGCATGAGATACAGTTAACTGCCGACAAACCCTGTAGGACTAAACCTTATAGCTATGATAAAC